CTTATTCTTATTCTCATTCTTATATTTAATTCCTGTTCTTATTCTTATTCTCATTCTTATATTTAATTCTTATTCTTTTCTTCATTCTTATATTTAACTTTCATTCTTATTCTTATTCTCATTCTTATATTTAATTCTTGTTCGTATTCTCATTCTTGTATTTAATTCTTATTCTTATATCTAATTCATATTCTGATCCTTATTCACATTCTTATATTTAACTCTTATTCTTATTTTCACTCTTATATTTAATTCTTATTCTTATTCCCATTCTTATATTTAATTCTCAATCTTATTCTTATTCATATCCGCATATTTGATATATAAACACGTTTGTAGCTGGTTTTTGAATGTTATATTTTAGACGTGTTTATTCGCCCGTGTCTAAAGAAAGACACTTTTGGTAAAAACGTATATACACGTCTACGCCTGGACAGGGGTTAAAGACCTGCAAAAGTTGGTTTAAAAGACTGTTTTTCTGTACTTTCTTTCTATTTAATATGTTTTATTTATTCATAGTTTTATTGCCTCTAATACTACTGGACTACTAAACTGACCTAAACGATCGTTCTGTATTTATCGTTTAGTACTTTCAAAATGATCGATTTCGATTTTATGTAACAGCTGTTATGTCAGCGTACATTTTTTTTAAACTGTCAAAATTGGTGCATTTTTGTTTATTGAAGAAGTATTGAAGTTTCTGGGGCACGTAATGAGGAAGGGTGGCTTGGGGAATCTGATACTCACAGGATAGATTAAGGGAAAGTGGGACAGAGAAAAACAGCGTGTAACATACTTCATGAGCTTCGGTAAATGGATGGTAGAACAGATTTTGAGAGAAATAACAAAAATACAAAACTTTTTAAGTGGTACAAGGGCCATGGTCAGATATGTCCTGAATGGAGACAGCATATAAAAAGAAGAGAAAGATACTTTATTTTTAGAACGGTAAAAATGCTTTCAAAATGCGCCAATTTTGACAGTTTAAAAAAATGTACGCTGAGGTAACAGCTGTTACTTAAAATCAAAATCGATTTTTTTAAAGAACTTCAAAATGGTTAATGAATAAGCAGTTTATGAAGAAAAATATTACCAGAGCGAGAAATTCAAATACAAAAGACTATATAACAATATTTTATCATATAAAGGGTGTTCCAATAACATGAACCGATTTTAAATGTCAATTAAGTTTAAGCGTCTAATGATTTTTTTCTTTTTCTTTCAAATTTGGCGGATATTGGCGATATTATTTTTCACATATAATTGCTATGACTAAAATAACATGATGGAATACAGAAATAAATAAATTTTCACCAATAACATTGATTTATTTACTGCTGACTTTGATCCGTCTTAATGAAACACCCTTATATATAATCCGTCTTAATGAAACACCCTTTATAACCTATTTGAGCGGCTAGGTAAGATCTAATTATATGGAAAAAATATTAGGATAATCCACTATATTTACTTGAAACACGCCGCCTGAATGTAATATATATGCAGTTTATGAAGTAAATGCTATAAGAGTGAACAATGTAAATGCAAAAAAGGTCATGTGCCTATGATTCGCCGATTATGCAAAAGCATGTGATAGGTTACGGCACAGAAACCTATTTGAACTGCTAGGTAAGCCAACGAGTTAAGCAAATATACGTATATAGAACGAGGAAAGGGGACCCGAAGTAGTTTGCGAGAAAAGATGAAAAACGTAAATTGTAAATTACAGTGGTGTATATAACGAATATAAAAAAATAAGATCTGATATTCCGGTGAAGATTTTAAAATAGTATTAAATTAGTAAGAGAAAGTGGGAAGAAAGGACTAACTGTTGGCTGTAAGAAGACGGAATCAGGCATGTGCAGAAGTTTAATTTTCTGAATAATGTAAGAACAGACAACGGAAAATGCGACACAGAAATCCGACAGGACATCAGAATAGGGAAGGCCTATCAGAATGAGGGAAGAAAAAAGGATAATTAGCTCACCAGCTTAATTTAATCTATATGATCCCAAGAGAAGTAAAAGACGTACCACGATTGACTATCGACGGCCATAGTTTTAAGAATATGAAATATGCAAATGACACTGACTCTAAACACTAAAGGCAAACTACAAAGACTCCTTAAGGGGAAAAAGGACTAACTATTGACTGTAAGAAGAAAGAATGTATAGTTGTCAGCAAGAGAGGCATCCAAGAGTATGAGCTTCGAATTGAAGACAACAGAATCAGTCAGGTTGAGGAATTGATCGTATTGGATAGTGTAGCAACAGACGATGGAAACTGCGGTACAGAGATCCAGCGTAGCACCGGAAGAGAGAAAATCCTTCCAGAAATTGGTAAAAATAGGAATATTTCGTTAGAACCAAAGTACTGAATTGCTGCGTCGTACCCTCCTGTGTGGCTCTGCGTGCTGGACAAATACATACAGATAAATAAGAGATTCGACGCAACAGAAACAAGACAGGGATTCTGAGAATAACATCAACAGAACATATGAGTAATAAGGAAGTTCTAAAGTAAATGGCAACTAGAAAAGACATACTTAAAGTCAGAAAGAGACGTTTGAACTTTCTGGGACAAATTATGAGGAAAGACTGCATGGAAAAAATGAATACTCACAGGACGTATTGTGGCAAGGGCGATACCACCTCTGAAATAATAATAATGATAATAAACTAGGGTATGCTGTAAAACACAAAACACCGAGTGAAAGAGAGGCGTTTTCGTATGACCAAGATATTAATATGCTGTAACGGCTTTGAAATGCAGATGTTACAGAAAGTTAATTTAGAACACGAAATACAATCTTTTTGTAAGTGTACAAAAGATATAAGATTACTAATGGAAAATTACTGGAACAATAATAATTTAGAAATTTTAAAAAAGAAATGGATTTTGACACTATAAGAATCGAAGTTAAAATTAAGGGTGTTTTGATTTAGAATTTATTTTCAAAACAAGAATCTCTGTAGTTTGCAAAGAGTAGCAGAATAATTAATAGCGAGGTGATAAACAATAGCGTCTTGTTGCGAACCTTGGAAACCAATCGATGAAAAAGTAAATTGTTTATTCTTGGAGGAGTGAAGTTGTATTTTGGTAGTATGTCAGTACGTTCACACTAGAAAAACAGATACATCAGCAGTCTAGGACACGTGAGGCCAGTTCTCTTAATAAAGAGGCGAGCCAACCGGAGGAGAGAGAGGGAGTTTGGGGTTCGTCTGTCTTCGAATGCAGTTGAACTGAGTGGAGAAATGTCAGAGATTGAAAAAGAAGCGTTTGCTGTTTTTTTGCTGAAGCGAAATACCGTCGCTAACATCTAAGTACCGCTAGTCCTGTTACTACTATTACTACTACTGAGAATGGGAACATCGAAGGTTGTAGTCGTTGCGCTAAGGACAGACCAAAAAGGGTTAAAAACGAAAGCCACATCTCTCCTTTACCGAAATTATTTGAAGTATTTGTGTTTGCTTGGTTATTGTTCGCATACAAGAAACATTCAACCTTGGGCAACAAGAATTTGTGTGTGTGTGTGTGTGTGTTTGCTTATATATATATATATATATATATATATATATATATATATATATAAAACTTTTGTCCTTTCAAAATCGAATCGACTTGGTTATATTTATTTTTTTCTTTTAACCGGATTCTCACCTGACGAACCCGATTCTCAGCCGACAAACTCGCAGGTAGACCAACGGAGAGGTTCCGGATTTCTACGATCTGATGACCACTCTCCAGGATCAAAACAATCACAACGTAGCTGAAAGGTGGCTTCGAATTAACATTAGGAACCGGAGACTTTTGTCTAACCTGTAATAATGGACCATACCGGACAAATGACCGGTCTTGTGGAGTGTGTGGGTCCAGTGGGGTGAGGATACGGTGTTATAGTATTGAGGGAATAAGCATGAGATGAAAACACATTTTGTGAATGTCTGACGAAGCAGGAACAAGAAGTGACAAAGTGTCAAATGTTCCTTAGACCTACAAGGAGCGAAAGGGAAGTTGGGAAGAGACGTGATCGCTCACGTTCTGAAGGGACTCAGCGCAAAAAACCATAATGATATGAATGATTGACTGCCGGGTGTGGTTTACAATTTGAACGATCGATACTCTACGTTTGAGTAAAATGAAAATGTTCGATAATACGAGAGAGGCCAGCGCACCGAAAATGCCAAATCAAGGACTGAGACACATTTGCACTAGCTTGATTATATTAGTCACATTGATGTGTAGCTTCCATGTAATGAATTTAGTTTTTGCGTTCAAACCCTGGAACGGTTAGTATAGATTTAGACTCAGTGGAAACAGGTGTAGTAATAACTGAGCAGTACTAAAAAAAATGAAGAAGGCCTTGGTATGCCTAGACATAGTCAGTGGGACGATAACAATCAGTCCCCTTAGATTAAATAAAGGGTTCATCTCGAAATTTCCCGAAGTTTACTCGGGTCGACATACACTTCAAGAAGGCCGGTGATCACAACGGCCAAAATGTTGCGATAACAGCAAAAGTGATGAAAATATTAGTCCGAATTTAAATAATGTATATAATTAAAGAGGCACGGCGTAATGCATAGCCGAGTTCGAATTCCAGTCGAATCCATTACAATCACTTACGTGGTAATACCCTTGGGAAAGGTATGAATCCTCTTCTCCCCGCCCCAGCTAGGGGTAAATAGCAGGACAGACCGGATTCTATAGGCTTGGATGGCAACTGGTCTACCGCAGAAAGAAATGGCAACCTAGTGTGGAAATAAATCTGCCTCGTCAGTCATGTATCGAAAGATATATGATCGCCTAAGCGTGAATCACGCATGGCACATAACTGTCTGAATGCCAACTTAAAATATTATTCCTCTTTCTCTTCTCCCAGCTATGGTAAATAGCAGGACCGACATGGTTCTGTTGTCTTGGATGGCAACTGCTCTACCGCAGAAAGAAATGGCAACCTACAGCGGGAAAATCTGACTCGTCACTCATGTATCGTAAACATGATCACCCAAGCGTGTATCACGCATGGCACGGTCTGTTTACATCTATCTATCTATCTATCTATCTATCTATCTATCTATCTATCTATCTATCTATCTATCTCGGTCTGTTTACATCTACTTATCTATCTCAGTCTATTCACATCTATCTATCTATCTATCTATCATAGTCTGCTGATATCTATCTATCTATCTATCTATCTATCTATCTATCTATCTATCTATCTATCTCGGTCTGTTTACATCTACTTATCTATCTCAGTCTATTCACATCTATCTATCTATCTATCTATCTATCTATCTCGGTCTGTTTACATCTACTTATCTATCTTAGTCTATTCACATCTATCTATCTATCTATCTATCTATCTATCTATCTATCTATCTCGGTCTGTTTACATCTACTTATCTATCTCAGTCTATTCACATCTATCTATCTATCTATCTATCTATCTATCTATCTATCTATCTCGGTCTGTTTACATCTACTTATCTATCTCAGTCTATTCACATCTATCTATCTATCTATCTATCTATCTATCTATCTCGGTCTGTTTACATCTACTTATCTATCTCAGTCTATTCACATCTATCTATCTATCATAGTCTGATGATATCTATCTATCTATCTATCTATCAAGTCCATTACATTCACTTACGCGCTAATACCACTGGGAAAGTTATGAATCCTCCTATTCTCCCCTTAGATATGGGTAAACAGCAGGACAGACCGGGTTCTATAGCTCTGGATAGCAACTGGTTTACCGCAAAAAGAAATGTCAACCTATTGCCTCGTCAGTCATGTATCAGAAAATACATGATTGCTCAAGCGTGTATCACGCATGGCACACAACTGACTGATATAATTACTGAATTTAATAATACAATATTTTTCTAATGCCATGTCCTTTCCGAATGCAGATTCACTATAGGTTCATTTTTATCTATTATATTTGAATTGCCATGAAATTGGGAAACATAGTCCTTCTCTTAGGTTAGCAACCATCGTGGAGTAGAGAGGCTAATCTATCCTGCTATTTAACCCGGTTATGGGTTAAATAGCAGGATAGATTAGTCCGAGTAATGTAAATAATGCAAGTAATCATAATACTTCATCTCAGAGATAAAGACAGAAATATTAACGGCTTTAAAACGAAACTACTTCATTTTAGTCATCTTAATGAATCATTTTTGTATTTCATCAACATGGCTGATGCTGACCTGCTCGAAAGCAAACTCATTGCGTCTTCTTCATCTCACGTTTTCCGCAGTGGATTGTTTATATTGAATCCATTGCTATATCTACTGATAGCAAAGTTGGTTCACTTCGTCGTGCCATGCAGTTTTTGTCAACAGAATCCCTTGTTGCACATTTTTGAGGGAGAAGTGATGGATTCATTCATTTCCCAAGGGAATTAGTATGAAGCTGTCCAGTCTACCAAAAGTTGAACATCTTCATCCAGACGAATCTTTTTTGGTTTCACGTGATATCTGGCAAGGAGAACCGTCATGCTGAAAAATGTCTCCGTCTTCTGGCAGAAGATCAAACCGTATTAAACTAATATAGTTTTCGCTGTTTAGGTTTTCATCAACTTTTACCAATTTCCTGTTACCTGCTATGATCCAGAATGCTGATGATATTTCATCATTCTAAAAATAACCTTTGCCATCAGTGATGAGAGAAAATAAGGATATTTCATCATCCCTGAAATAAAGATAAAAAAAAACAACCTTGTCACCAGTGATGAAAGATGAGAAAGATATTTCATCATTGTAAAATCTGATTATAAAAATGAACCTTCCACCACAAGTGAGGACAGTCAGTAGAGTAGAGTCAGTAGAGTAGCAAGTAGCAAGAGCAGTAGTAAAAATGGACACAAAACAACGTATCACCATCACTCCAGAAAATCGAAAGTTGACGATCTCAAACGTTATCCTCACCAACGAAATTCTCGGAACAAGCAAAAATGCAAGTAAGCACAATCTTTTAAAGAAAACAAAAGAGACAGTATCCCTGAGAACACTTTTAACACACACCATAATAATATCTGTAATTCTCGTTACGAAAAAAAATCTTGTTATTATTGTCAATACGTATCTCAGGACTTATTGTTGAAAGTTGTTGTTATTATTGTAAATAAGAAAGGTAAAAAGGATCCCGCTATCAACTAGTTCTTCTTCTCCCCCCCCCAGCAATGGGGAAATAGCAGGACAGACCGGGTTCTGTAGCCTTGGATAGCAACTGGTCTACCGCAGAAAGAAATGGCAACCTACTGCGGGGAAAAAATCTGCCTCGTTAGTCATGTACCGAATGATACATGATCGCCTAAGCGTGTATCACACATGGCACATAACTGACTATCAACTACTACTACAAATACGTGTAACAACGGAGTAATTACTTTAACAGCACTCAACAAATAATATCACGTCAGGATTACTATTACATCAACACCAACCTACCAACTTATCAACCTCGTTACATATCTTTGCTTTTGATGCATTAAGTGTCAACTACTAAATTATACCGTCTTTGTAATGTATCTTTCTTTTCGTTTCTATCTTTATTTTCTTTCTTTCTTTTTTCTTTTTTTTCTTTTTTGTTTCTTTTTTCTTTATTGTTTATTTCTTTTATTTTTTCTTTCTTTATTTTCTTTCTTTCTTTTTTCTTTTTTTTCTTTTTTGTTTCTTTTTTCTTTATTGTTTATTTCTTTATTTTTTCTTTCTTTATTTTCTTTCTTTCTTTTTTCTTTTTTTTCTTTTTTGTTTCTTTTTTCTTTATTGTTTATTTCTTTATTTTTTCTTTCTTTATTTTCTTTCTTTCTTTTTAATTTCTTTCTGTTTTGTTTCTTTGGTTCTTCCTCTCTTTTTTCTTTCTTTCTTTATTTTTTTCTTCTTTTTTCTTTCTTTTTTGTCTGATTCTTTCTTTTTTGCTTGTTTGTTTCTTTTTTTCTTTGTTTCTTACTTTTTCTTTTTTTGTTTCTTTGTTTCATTCTTTCTTTTTTGTTTCTTTCTTTCTTCCTTTTTTGTTTCTTTCTTTTTTGTTTGTTTATTTGTTTCTTTCTTTCTTTCTAGTTTGTTCCTTGCTTCCTTACTTTCTTCCTTTTTGCTTCTTTGTTCCTTTCTTTCTTTTTTGTTTCTTTGTTCCTTCCTTCCTTCCTTCCTTCCTTCCTTCCTTCCTTTCTTTAGTTTTCTTTTGCATGAGGATGCAACGATTTTGCATTCATCACTAAAAATTACATTTTGCTATTTTCCAGCCTCCATGTTCATTTGACCACTTCGATCTTCGATTCGGATGTTTTTTTCTGTTTGTTTGTTTTTGCTGCTATACGCACGTTTAAGTTGTTTTTCGTTACTTGCATTATTTAAATTATTAGGACTGTTATCCTCATCTTCTTTGTCATTATCACAACGCTTCGGCCGCTATACGCTCCAGCCTTCTTCAAGTGATTGGAATTTCGAACCAGAATACATTGTTCTAGCTCAACGTTCAGTGCCTTGTCCGGATATCCCAGTTATCTCCCTTTAACTCAACTCTCCATGTTTTGTTCAACAACTGCTCTAGCCTGGTATTGAACTCACAAATCTTTGGATCTAGTCAATGGATCTAACCAACGTCTTTATCAACTGGGCCACGTGTCCTTGAGGATATGAATATGGCAATGAAGATGAGGATAACAGTCTGAATAATGTAAATAATGCAAGTAATCATAATACCTCATCTCAGAGATATAGACAGATATATAGAGAGACATAGACATAAAGGCCGGGGCGTACAACGGCTGAAACGTTGTGAATATGGAAATGAAGATGTGGATAACAGTCCGAATAATGTAAATAATGCAAGTAATCATAATACCTCATCTCAGAGATATAGACAGATATATAGAGAGACATAGACATAAAGGCCGGAGCGTATAACAGCCGAAACGTTGTGAATATGGCAATGAAGATGAGGATAACAGTCCGAATAATGTAAATAATGCAAGTAATCATAATACCTCATCTCAGAGATATAGACAGATATATAGAGAGAGATATAGACATAAAGGCAGGAACTTTTTTGTTCTTTTTTCTTTAGTTCTTTCATTCATTCATTTGTCCTTTCTTTCTTTCTTTTCTTTCTTTCATTCTTTCCTTATTTTATTCCTCCATTCATTTCAGTCTTTTTATGTTCTTTCTTTCTTTCTTTCTTTCTTTCTTTCTTTCTTTCTTTGCATTTACATATAGATTCTTTTACATGAATGCGTATATTCCCTGAGGCTCTATCATTGGAACTATTTTTTTATCTTCATGAGCGACCTTCCCTATATCATCAGTTCGTTACTCGGCTTTTACGATGAAGTTCCCAATAAAAGTATTTGTTTCTGTTTTAATAGTAAGTCCAATAAATTAAAACTTTCCGCTGATCTCAGAAATGGCTTCCAATTAATTGTTAACATGGGCAAGACATGGCTTGTAAATTTTAATGCCTTTAAAAGGAAACTTACTTCATTTTAGTCATCTTAATGGATCATACAAGTAATCATAATACCTCATCTCAGAGATATAGACAGATGTATAGAAAGACATAGACATAAAGGCTGGAGTGTACAACGGCTGAAACGTTGTGAATATGGCAATGAAGATGAGGATAATAGTCCGAGTAATGTAAATAATGCAAGTAATCATAATACCTAATCTCAGGTATATAGACAGATATATAGAGAGACAGAGAGGCATGGCGCGTGGAACTAGAACAGTCTATCCCGGTGGACGAAATAAAAAGTTCAGTTCGACATTCTAATCACATGAAGAAGGCCAGAGTGTACAACGGCCGAAACGTTGTGAATATGGCAATGAAGATGAGGATAATAGTCCTAATAATGTAAATAATGCGAGTAATCATAATACCTCATTTCAGACATATAGACAGATATTGTTTTTTTTTTTTTTGTACGATCCTGTCTATTGTATCAAGTGAAACCTCACTGTTAAGACTACATTCAATCCTCAATTGTCCGGCTTTTAGCAAGACTCTCATATTCTTTCGTCTTTCTTGTTTAACTTTTCTGGTCTTTTGGTTTGATTTGCACTGAAAACATTTCCATTAGTAACAAATGTCTATTGGATAGTTTGAACCCTCTTTCTGGAAATGCCTAACCGCCTGGTCATCTCTCGTTGAGTTACCTTCCCCCCCCTCAAAGTCACAACATTCGATTTTGTTTCAGCAGAAATTTTAACCGCGATTTTAGTGTAAAAAAAAGCAAGCTAATATTCAGCTACAATGACTTGCCAAGGCATCTTAAACTCATGTTAATAAAATAGAACACTTCCTACTTAGATTTTTGCATATTATCATAGCTTTCTCACCTGAGGCCTTTCGTTGAGCCAACAGCTTTTCAGGACCTTTTTTTGTTTTAACCTCAAGCTGCCTAAAGCGGTGTATCTTTTGTTACGAAAACGCAACAACTTATTCTCAATGTCCATAAACACCACTTATAAAAGTATATTAATAAACAATCTTAAATGAACTTAAAGGTGTACAAGCATTTTTATATAGTTTCGTCAAAACATTTGCATGTATTTTTATACTAGAACAGGGGTCGGCAACCTTTTGCTATGTGCCAACTTAGGGTTTTTAAATCCTTCAAAGTGCCAACAGCATACTGATTTTTATACAAGTCAAGGTCAATATACCTGTTCTACAATATATTTTATATTGTAATATATACAGTAATATGTAAACCAAATTAATACAAATAAGCTGTTTCAAAAGTTTTTTTTTTTTTTTTAAATTTTTATTATTAATGGGAGTCAAACAAGTGAGCAGTTTTGAAAGAGCTAAATATCTTCATTGCGTTGTAGTAGTTATTTGTTCGGACTTCGTGATATCATTTGCGGCTGTGTGCCATTGGAAATTACTTGGCGTGCCACGTGTGGCACGCGTGCCATAGGAAGCCGACATCTGCTCTAGAAAATATTTACAGGTATTGTTTTCAGATTGGGCTATTTTTGAAAGCCCAATGTTACTAAATTTGAATGTTGCTATGTGCCCTATTTGGGGCTACTATTTTTTTTTTTTAAATAAGTTGGTGTATTTGGAATATTAATAAGTACGTTAGTTCAAAATTAACAGTAAACAAGTGAATATTAGATGGGGGATTAGTTCTGGTTTACATATACAGATCTTCCCCTTTTTGCCATAGTAGATTTCATACATGAATCTATACAACCTTTATTAAGTTTGACTATATTTGAAAGCCCAGTAATACAAAATTTGAATTTCGAAAGTTTCGGGTTTTTATAGGGTCTTTAAAAAAATAAACTGGTCGACCATTATTAGCTACTAAACTAATGAGAAGAAAATCAATTCAAAATTTGGTAACAATGGTCTTTCAAAAATAGTCAAAGTTATTATTGGTAGCATAATACGGCAATCTTGTAATATTGAGTAATATACAACGATTTTAATAACAACGTGTAACTTAGTCTGATACAAGGATAACAGTTCTAGAGCACCCATGAGGATTGAACTATATTACTCACTATATTAACGAGTCGATCTACAAAACTAAAATGGTAACCACTGCAATACAGCAATTTTATACGTACGTGTCAATGAGAGAATGCATGTATATATGCAATATTGTTCTGTGTGTGAATGTGCGTGTGAGAGAGAAAGAAAGAGTATAAGAAAAGAAAGAAACGAAGTCAATTGAGATAGATAGAGAGAGATAGATAGAGAGAGAGAGAGAGAGAGAGAGAAAGAGAGAAAAAGAGAGAGAGAGAAAGAGAGAGATAGACAGACAGACAGAGAAAGAAAGAAAAAACATTCAGCGTTGATGCCTTCCTGGTGACAGATGCGATAGACACGAATGTTGTATGCATATGTAACTGGGGCGAATAGGAGAGACGGGGAAGGCGAGATAATGAGTACGTGTACATGCGCGCACTTGTGTGTGTGTGTGTGTGTGTGTGTGTGTGCGTGCGTGTGCGCGTGTGTATGTGTGACGCATGCGCTCACGTTTCGATGTATGTGCGATTGAGTGTGCGTGTGTGTATTCGCGCAGCCAAGTGTATCTTTGCAGAACAAACCACTTTATGAATGAAAGCGACATATTTTATATACACATTGACCCTCTATTATCCGCGTCTTTGTTATTGTTGGTTTCAGTTATCCGCTCCTCGACCAAAATAAATATAAATAATGAAAAATAAGCAATTAATAAGTTTTACATAATACATAATACCTCCCACTTATACATCCCTGGTAGGATATTAATGGCAATGGTGTCTTCATCTAACTAATGTCTAACCATTATGTGGGAGGGATTTCTGCCACACCCAGTACTTTTAAAATTAATTAAAATTACACAAGGCTGGATGCACGGTGGTGTAAAGGATAGTGGCTGGGATAAGAAATCGGAGAGCTGGGTTCGAATTCATGTCGGGTTCGTTACATTCACTCACGCACAAATTCATTTAGGTATGGTATGAATCTGTCTCCATCTCCAGCTC